AAAGAGTAAACGTCACCATGTCAACAAAGTGCTCTCTTGCTCTCAAGGGAAAGATTAATAGGAAAGAATGCAGTAAGAGCTACTGCAGACATGCATAGAACTGATGAAATAATGCTTAAATTAGAATAAAATATCAAGGATACCTCTACTGTGGGGCTAGCACTTGGTAGTGACCTTGATTTCAGTAATTATCATAATTTGTAATTATTCAATAATAGTGTACATAGTTATTATCCATGTTTCCTGTTATATTATGGTCTCCATTGGACAGGAACCCAATGATGGGTCACCACTGTGTTCCAAGTACCCAGAAAAATGCCCAACACACAATTAGCAATAAATAAATACTGGTTCAATGAGTGAGTCTTCCTAAAACACAAAATTGAGCCTATTACCTCCAGGCTTAAAAACTTTTCATTCCTCCAAATTACTCATAGGAAGGAGTCTACTTCCTTTCTACAAAATAGAAGAGTGTTTCTTGAATTTTAGCATGCTTACAAATCACCTAGAGAGCTTGTTAAAACACAGATTTCTGGGTTTTCCCACTAAGATTCTCATTGAATAGGTCTGGGGTAGATAGGTCTCATTTCAAAAGTTTTCTAGGTGATGCTGACAGTCTTGGTCCAGGGACCACACTTCAAGAAGGACGAGCTTAGAGAACATTTACTCTCAATCCTTCCTAGCCCCGTCCCCCAAACACTCTATGCTTCAAACATACGCAAACACTCTCCCTTCCCTGAATATGCCCTGCTGTTTTCAGGCTGCTCTGTCTTAGGACCCAATGCTCCCTCTGTTCCTACTGTATCTTCTGCCTTAGGAACTGTGTTTTAAAGCTCAGGTGCAAGGCTACCTCCTATGAAGCCTCCTCCTGTTTCCTCAAAGGCAGCCACTCCCTTGGTCCTCCCAGATCCCTAGGTATGCACCTGTGCCCCGGCTTTATCATGCCACACTGCAAGAACCTCTCTCTCTTTGACAAGACCATGAACTCCTCAAGGAAATGACCTCATCTTGATTATCATCTCACCTCCAGCTCTGAGCACAATGTCAGGCCATAGTAAGCACTCAATACACACTGGTTGAATGAAAACTGGATGTGGGGGAGCCCATTTCAGGCTGAATGTGAAATGTGCATGGAGGCCTCATGGTACATAATCTCAAAGTGTTCATAAAGAGGAAGCGATGATGGGAGGCAGTGTTGGGTTGCAGGGAGAAACAATAGGAATTACAAAATTAGATCAGGGTAAGATCACAGGAGGCATAGAATGTTATGCCAAGGAATGCACACGTCTTTCTGTAGGAAAAAGAGGTCTTTAAGAATTTTAAGGATGAGAGTCATGAAATCGACCTATACTTTAAGAATTACAGAAGTACTTTAATATCCAATACTAATAAAGTGTAACGTCTAATACCCTTTTTACAAAAAATACATCACCTCCCTATTGCTCCATGTAATTTCTTAAANGTCTAATACCCTTTTTACAAAAAATACATCACCTCCCTATTGCTCCATGTAATTTCTTAAAATAACTTTATTAATATGTTATGCTTGAAAGACTTCAGAACCATTCTTAAAACATATAAAAGGCAATCAAAGAAAAACTGTTTTTAAAAAACTCACTTTTTTTTCACATACTAAAAAGGGAAAAAATCTACTTTGACTCCTTCACAGAATGATGCTCTCTTTAGAGAGTACTTATTTTTCTTTCTATAATATATTTGATTAACTGTGGCCAAGAACAATTATGTTTACCTTGTCTGCTTTGGCTTACTTTGATAGAAATTCACCTTTTCATACCAGATGTACATTCCAAAGCCATAAATTTCAGCTAAACTTCAATAACACTTGATAGTCACACCAATCAAAACAAGTTTGTTTTTTTTTTAAGTGAAAGACAATGCCTTGAATTTAATCAAAAGCGTTAATTGCTTCTTTTGCTGTAAAGCTTTCCCTATTCATTTCATTTATATATATATATATA